TCATTCTCTTTCTCCCTCTTTCTCTGTTTGACGTTGTTCTCGCTGTATCCTCTGTTCAGCAATTGGCACGTAAGTACTCTCTCTCTCTCTCTCATGCTCTCTCTCTCTTTCTCTTTCTCCCTCTTTCTCTTTCTCCCTCTTTCTCTGTTTGTCCCTTTTTCTCCTTTACATTTCTTGCATCTTCGAAGTTCTGCTTGTCCTTACTCTCTTTGTCTTTCTCTCTCTCTCTCTCTTTCTCTCTTAATCTCTCTTCCTCCCTCAAAATTTTTGCATCTTTTGAGTCCGTTTGTCCAATCCTCCAACGTAGTACTCCTCTCTCTCTCTCTCTCTCTTTCTCTTTTTCTTTCTCCTTTTTTCTCCTTCACATTTCTCGCATCTTCGAAGTTCTGCTTGTTATACTCTTTCTCGTTCTCTTTTTCTCTTTCTCTTTCTCTCTCTCTCTCTCTCTCTTTCTCTCTCTTTCTCTTTTTCTCTCTCTTTCTCTCTTTCTCTCTTTCTCTCTCTTTCTCTCTCTTTCTCTCTCTCCCTCAAATTTTCGGCATCTTTTGAGTCCGTTTGTCCAACTCTCCAACGTAGTACTCCTCCCTCTCTATCTCTCTGTCTCTCTCTTTCTCTTTCTCTCACAAATTTCTTGCACCTTCCAGTTCTGTTTGTCAAACCTCCGCGCAGATGTGAGTATTTTCTTTGTCTCTCTCTTTCTCTCTTTCTTTCTCTTTCCCCTCTCTCCTTCTCTATCTCTTTCTCTCTCTTTCTCTCCGACAAATTTTTTGCCTTTTCGAGTACCGCTTTGCCAACCCCTCTGAGGTAAGTATTGCTCCTTTCTCTGTCTTTCGTTCTGTATCCTGTGATGAGGAATCAGATTAAGGCCTGGAATGGAGACATTGCGCCTCGCTCTGTCTTTCGTTCTGTATCCTGTGATGAGGAATCAGATTAAGGCCTGGAATGGAGACATTGCGCCTCGCTCTACTAACCATATGCGCAAAAGACAAAAAAAATATGGCGATGTATCTTTCAATGTTCTAGCAGAAGATTCATTAGCATTTTGCACATTGGCGAGTAATGGAGCGAGGCCCATTCCGACTGGTTTCGCCAATGGCCCCATAACTTTTTTCCACAAATTTCTTCCATCTCTTAGTTCTGCTTGTTCGATGCCTCTGAGGTAGGTGTTCCTCTTTCTTTCCCCTCCTCTCTCTTTCTCTGTCTCTCAAAACACAAATTTATGTTTTCTTAATTTTGTAAAATGCTTCCGTCCGATCTCTCTCTCTCTCTCTCTGTCTCCCTCTCTCTCTTTCTCTCCCTCTCCCGCGCGCGCGTGCGTTCACGTTGTGCCTGCTATTTTCCTGTCTGCCATGACATCTTTCTCTTCTCCTCCTCTCGGCCTCGCCGAAACACTCACCAAATGTGCAGAAGACAAAAGCTATTGCGGGTGTATGTTTCCACGTTCTACGGGAAGATACATTCTCCATTTTGCACATTTGGTGAGTAGTAGTGCGGTGACGTCCTCTGTCCGTCCTTACACGTGCTCACCATCTTTCGCTCTGCGTCACAATTCTCCTGGGCGACAAGCGGTCTCACATCCGTTCACACGCGCTCACGTTTTGCGGTCGTGCATGGTCTCACATGCGGTCATGACGTGGTCATACGAGCGGTCGCACATGATGCGGCAGACATGACGTCTCACATGCGGTTTCTCATGCGGTCATGACGTGGTCACACGAGCGGTCGCACATGATGCGGCAGACATGACGTCTCACATGCGGTTTCTCATGATCTGGTCACACTTGTGTCACACATGCGGTCGCACGTGATGCGGTACACATGCGGTCGCACATGATGCGGTCACACTGGTGTCGTCACACAGGTGCGGTCGCACTTGATGCAGTTACGCTTGTTGCGGGCACGCGTGATGCGGTCACACATGCCGCCGCACATGATGTGGTCACACGATGAGGTTACGCCTAACCCGATCACGCATGCCATTGCATATGGTTTGCGAACGGGGCAGAGGGCTCGTTCCTTAGTAGTAGTAACCTTTATTTACGGCAGCAGGTTAGCAATAAGGGGCGCGCAGCGCTTAAACACGATGGGATCAGGCATCCGGTCGCACATGATGTGGTCACACATGATGCAGTCACACACGATGCGGTCACACATGATGCGGTCACGCGTGATGTGGACGCTGAACGATTGTTTTCAGACATGCGGTCGCACATGACGCGATCAGACGTGCGGTCACACATATGGGGTCACACGGGAGTCTCATTCTCCAAAGCAGTTTTTTTTTTTTTTTTTTTTTTTTTTTTTCAAAGATCGTTCGCTCTGCCTCATGTGTACTCTCGCTCCACTCCGAGAAAAAAATACGGCGGTGTATCTTTATATGTTCTACCGTCTTCACCCGAATAGCTGCATTTGGCCCAACGTTCAGTCCAGCTGCAGCGATAATGACCGGGCGTTCTATTCGGATGAAGACTGTAGCAGAAGATCCATTATCATTTTGCACATTTGGTGAGTGGTGGAGCGAGGCCCATCATGACTGGTTTTGCCGAAGACCTCGTGTATCTGAAGTGATATGACAAATGTAGATGGGCGACATCTGTCACACATGCCGTCACACACGTGTCTCCCGGTTTCTCCCCCCCCTCCAGGTCTTGTATTCTTTCGGCGTCTCGCCTTATGCCTGCACCCCAAACTCGTGCGGCTTAGGGCCTCGCAGCACCACTCACCAAATGCACATACGGCGACCAAATGCACAAACGACGTGAAGTTATGGCGATGTATCTTCCGCGGTGTTAGGGGAAGATTCATTCCCATTTTGCACGTTTGGTGAGTGGTTCGGCGAGGCCCTGAGGCCCGCACCCCAAACTCGTGTGCTATTGCGCTTGGCCTCGGTTTGTATTCCTACCTTTTCTCGGCGGTTCGTATGTCCACATGTCCTCTCTCTTCTCTCCCACTTCTCTCCCTCTTCTCTCCCTCTTCTCTTCCTCTTCTCTCCCACTTTTCTCTTACGGTTTCAGTTTTTTCATTCGGGTTTTCCTCGTCGTAGACCTTTCTCTTACTCAATCGTTATTTACTGGAAGATTCTCTCTCTCTGTGTTTTTCTCTCTCGCTCTCTTTTTCTCTTTCTATCTTTCTGTTTTTACTACAATTACATCGGTGTAGC